AAATATGCATTTACCTCTTGCCATTCCTCTTCCACCTCCCACCTTTTAAGCTGTAAAACCATGTCCTGAAGCCACTAAAAGTAATGTGACATCTGTGAAATGATGTATGTTGTTTTTAATGCATGCACTCAGCTGCAGATCTGAGTTTGAAGTACTTAATGCTGAAATACCTAAAATAATCCTAGGTCCCAGAGAAATGGCACTAAAGCATTCATGACAATGTCTTTCTTCTAAAAAGGGCAGGCTAAGAAAGGGACCAGACACACCTCAACCTTTTCAGTTCTACTTTGTTACCAGCTTTTCTGTCCCCCTAGAAACTAGGCAGCATTTTTGCTTCCTGCTTTCCCAAGGCCCACATGTGCCTGGAAAGGAACTCAAAAGACAGGATGAGCTTGCCTTTGCCTGTTTAACACCTAAATGATCTTACCAGCTGATCTCAGAGACAGTAGGAAAAGATGTGCCACATAAGCATACAGATGATAGCCCTGCTTATTTGACATGCTCTTAACTATTGGCAATTTACTTAATCAAGCCTCAGAAAGAAGCAAATTAAATCCATGGCTATTAGAAACAATGAGTGCTTTTTAATAAGGACAGTAATTTTGCCCAGGTTGGCTGAGTCCATTCACTGTCTCTACGATTTCCATCTGGCTGTGTATTGTAGTCACACTCTCACATACACACGCGTGCACTCCCACTTTGTCTCTCTAGGGCCTTTTTAATAAAATTAATATTGTTGCCAACTGATTCCTTGACTCTGCTAAGCAAACAAAATGACCCTAGCCATTAAAGTCTCAGAGCCATTCATGCTCAGAATAGCAACTTCAGCAATTATTACCATAAAAGTTAAAATCCAAAGGTCTTCCAAAATTCATGGGGTTATTCAAAGTTGGATTATTTTTTTTTAGTTTTGTTTTTTTTTTTGTAATAAACATGTAAATCAAAAACAGAACTGCAGGGTAAGATGCTAAATGCTCAGTTACTAATGAAGGCACTCCTAGAATATTCTCCTAACAGCTCAGACTTGATTAATATAAAAAAAGATCCTATTGATTTTGCTTAAAAAACACTTAAAAAGTGCTCAACACGCTGGCAGCAGAAATATGTTATGAAGTGCACAGAAAAAGTACCATTTAAATAAGGAAGAAAGAAAGCCAGCCAGGCAGAGACATTAGGAAGAGACAAATTATAAAACCCTTGTCAGCCTCACTGAAGCAGCACCAGCACTGGAGGCAGTCAGGGCCAGACTATGGTAGCACACTACTATGGGCTAAAGATTCCAACTCCAAATTCAAGACAGATAACATTCAGCTCAAAAACCAAGACTCACTTTCCCACCAGGAATTTCCCCATGAACAACGCTTGTTAAAATGAGACAATTCTTTCAGTCTGTGTCACAGATACATTTTGAATGGTGAATCACAGAGACATGCAGATCTTCTGGCCAGAGTAGCATAAAATTCCTATTAGCTACCATTTGTATCAGCTGGGCACTCAGGACTAACTCTTCTACTAGTATCAGAACTACTTTATACACACTTTTCCTCTTGCTCTAAGTAGCTGTTACTGTTGAGATATCATGACTGTCAGTAATCAAGATCCAGGATTACAGGGTATTTTGTTCTGGAAAAACGGACGTTTTTCTGTGGATTTTGCACAATTCTGAAGTCTGGTATCTCAGAGACATGCATGCTAATAAGAAAAAAAAAATAGTTAAAATGAGTATATCGCTCGGTTCTCATGGGAACACATCACTTCCAGATCTGGATAGTTTCAAGATACTTGGTTAAGTACTTATTAAAACATATCTAAAAAAGCTATTCCTAGATTTTTTGGTGGCTTCCTGGTTACTATTCACTGGGACTAATGGCTGAGAAGGCAGAGACCCATTAAAGCCCAGGGGTGCCCAGGAAAGAGCATGCAAGGGAGGTCAAGCACCTACGAAGGACACTGGGAGGCAGCTAGAGGAGCCTGAGTGTTTGGACAGACAGCTCAACTGCTTAGGGCTGGAATGGGGCAGACACTCATCAGTGGTGATAAAACAAGCTGTCTTTGCATAATTTGTCCATGACTTCATGCATTCTTTATCCTGGGTCTTCTAAGAACACCTGCCTGTGTCTGCCATAGTTTTGTGTGCCATCCAGCCCTCACAACTACAGCCAAACGTCTTTGCTGCTCAACTTGTACATGAAATAGCTTCTGCAGTTCAATATAAGTTATGTGGGGATAAGTTAGTCATTAATTTGAGAGAAAGAAGTGGACGAAGACGAGAGGAATCCCAGGGACAACCCAGTCTAGCTAGATGTGGTGAAAGTCTCTCTATGTGCTACTGAGGAATAAAGGCATTGAGGGAAGTTCACTCACAAGTTGGAAGATACTCCCAGTCTTCAGAAACACCATCTCTGCACCTTCTGCAGATTCCTGAATGTGTCCAACTGCTTTCCTTCTCTCCCCATGCTTTCCAAATGCATCAGGACTTGCAGCCTAAAACCAAACCTTGCTGATGTCAATAGGAAGCTTTCTTTGGATGGCCATTTCACTTCTCTCAAGTGACTAGACTATGGAACAGATCCTGTCTTCTCAGGATCACAGACCTGTTAACAGTAATTACAACAGACCAGTTGCAAGCTAACCTAAAAGCTGATGAAAATATAGTTCTACTTTTGAAAACAAACATATTAGGGGGTCTTACATGGAACAGCAAGGAAATCATAGTGAGCATTAAACAAACAGATGAGAGAAAAAATGTGCTAGACACTTACAACACTGTATACAAATGTACCCTATTAATAGAAAGATTTCTCAATTGCACTGATTTTTAAAGAAACAAATCCCTGTACATGAAACAAACAGACTAATAGAATTATATCTGTTTTTAAAAAAGCAGGAAGATAAATAAAATGAGAACTTGATCTAGAAGACCGCTGGCATAACATAAATTAGGTCCTTGGAAAAATACAGATTTAGACAATCAGAGAAGCCATGTTTCAATCAGACTTTGATCATTCAAGATAACCATAGTGGAAAATGAAATTTTCTGCTTTATTTGATTCGTTAGGAAATGATCTCTTTCCTCTCTGTTTCTATCCAAAGCACCGAAAAATCCATGCTGAAAAGAAACAACTAAAATCTCCCACTGTTCCCTTACTGAGCACAACTCTTTTCTCCCATCTCTGCAATCAAAATTCCTTACAATGGTTACTTCATCCACACTGTACATTAAATCTGCTGCTGCTACAGTGCTCTAACATTTCAATTTGCTTGTGACATTTTCAACATTTCCCTTAAGTTCTTTTTAATAATATACAAAAGAGGAAAACTTTACTGAACAATAAAACAAACTCTATCCTCCCTCTAAACAAAAGCTTCATTAATCTTGCATAGACTTCAGTTTCTTATTGTACAGAAAATACACAAACTACACATATGTCTGGAAAGGTAACTTGCAATGAGAAACTTCAGGATATTTAATTTCTTAGTGTCGTTACCGACACCCGATCCCCGGGATCTCTGCCACCCAACCTCTGCCGTTGGGTACCATCACAGACACAGGCTTCAATATGAAGGATGTTGCAAATGGCGTTTATTGCGCAGCTGTAATTGCTTATATAGCACAAGCCACACCCACAAGGCCCCTCGTGGGCAGTCTGAGCTTTCCGTTACATCGCGAGATCTTCCGCACGCCGATCCCTGCCTAGGGCGGGCTCTGCTCACCACAACATCTTAGACTGGAAATAAGGTTGAAAATCTCTCACTTCACATAATGGCAGCACAGAGAAATTGCTTTTTGTAAGGTGCAAAGACACAAAATGCAGCATGTGGAGATTTCAAGGCAAGCTGGGAATAAAACACAACTTGTTTTAACTAATAGATGTAGCTACCTATCAAGATAACTTACCATAGAAAGTAACAAGTCCATTAACACAAGAGTCATTAAACAAAATTTTCCAGTCTCTCTGTAAAAGATATACCCTAGTAGAAGCACAAAACCTTGGCTTTATGGCACTCAGTCACTTGGAGTAAGAGAGTCAAGTCCCTGTACTCCAGAACCAAAACTCAAAGGCAGAGGAGTTGTACAAAGCCACAGCAGGCCACTTGGCCAGCAGCAGCCTGAAACTCTAACAGCAGCCAGTCCATTCCTCTTCAGTGACCTTTCAGTGACAACTTTAAAAGCAGGGCTTTCCCTCCTATCTTTAAACTCATTATGACAAGAGGAAAACAGAGCCACTACTACCTTGTATGGGGACACAGAGAAGTCCTGTCAGAACAGCCTATCACTCACACAGAAACAAGCCAGGGTGCTTTTTTTAGCATTTTCAAACCAATGTTTTTTAGCCAGTTTGAAAATTCCAAGGGCGAGAAATAACCAGTGCAACCAAATTCAGTTGACTACGTGAACTGTGGACAAGGCCCTCGCTGCCCCAGTGAGCTAAAATGGCTTCAGCAAGGATGCCTGATGGTGGGGCCCTCTGTTGCCCATACAACTAGTCAGGACCAAATCAGCCAAAGCCCAGAAGCACACCAGCCTTCTACCCAATCCATGGGAGACAGCACAAGCAATACACAGATGGCAAAAGGAAATTCCATATGTCCTGTAAATGGTGCTAGCAGTTAACTACACTTCACATTATGGATAGTCACCAACTGGGCCATTGTACCAGGGTAAGGTGTATACACACCTGTGATGATGACTGCACTCCTCAAAGCACTTGCTACCAGTTATTTTCAGGGATTGTCTATACTTAAAACTATTCACTTAGACTGGTATTTCAGACCAGATCTAGGTTTAACACATTCTAAATAACATTTGACTGAAAGAACAATCTGCATAAGAAAAAAATGCAGGAAAATGGACATTTCATTTCACATGACCACACGACATTCTTGTATCCTTCAAGCTGACACTCTTGTCACAAGGGTATTTCAGGGTTCAATTAGCAGCTATAAAGAAAAAAGATTATTTTTTGAACACATTTAGCGAGTCTTAAGGTTTGTTTTTTGTTTTTTTTTTTATTGAGGAATAAGAAACAACAACTATATTGTACCCTGCAAGTTCTTAGAAGTTTACGAAGATTTTAGAGCAGTAGCAGACCCACCTCCAGTGTGCAAAAGGCAAAAACCAGATCAGGAAGCAGCAAGCGCTGGATATTCTTGGTGCATGGTCTCACCACAGAAAACAAAAGAACCATTTTTCTTGCACTGCAGTTTGTCACCCTCCCCACTACAGACTTGTAAATTTACACAGGAGGCAAGACAATCCCAATCCAATCTTAAAACGTCTCAATCATTCAGTCTTTTTCCTTGACCCAACTTATCACTTATCTTCACAGCTCACAGCAGCTTCACCAGGATGCTCTGCCTTCAATTTTTTATGAGCTGGGTCTCCTGGGAGGAGGGACGTGCAATGCTCTAAGGACTGTGCAATTTCATCAATTGTCCATTTGTCTTCATACAGGGCATGCTCCTCTAGCGTGAATGGCCCTTGCTTGGTGCGGGTCAGCTCCTGCACAGTGGCACAGGTAGAGAGTTCTACAGTGAAGAAGGAAAGAGGATTTAGAAAAAGTGTGTGGTCAAATTTAACTGCAACTCGCTCAAAATTTATTTTTACATGTAGCCTTTTACATTGTTCTGTTTTGAGAAGGAAGCTCATGAAGATTTACCACTCATTTAAATCTTAACTTGGAACCAAGGAATTCCTTTGATTTCAGTAGATCTCCAGTATAGCAGAGTTCAAAATCTGACAGAAAGTTGTCAAAAGGTTTTGCAGATTTAAATCAGAAAAAAAAAAGAGAAGAAATAGTCACATAAGATGTAAGCAGAACATTCTGTATTCACATGTGACTTAGAAGACCATGTACTATTTTTCCACAGACTTTGAGGCTTTAGCACTTCTTGCCTTCAAGAAGGATTTTTGACATTTTTATCCTGTGTTGCCTACCAGGATAATATAAACTAAGATAAGGAAAAATCAAAAAGATAAAACAAATGCTTTTCTATGTTAAATAAATACCAGTAGGGCAGAATTACGTAATGAGGGGTTACAAAACATAACAGCAACCAGAGATGTCCTGTAAGCTCACAGGTACACTAAAATATTCTCTCCCAGCCTTTCTAATGCAGGAATATTTTTACTGCATTTTAAATTTTTTAAAAGAAAGCAGCTGAGGACAGACTTTATCTTTGTTTGTCACTAAAGGGCTAAACTACTAAATTGAAATTCACAAGGTTATCCCACATCACTTGCTTTCTTGATCTGCAAATGTATAATTTAAAAAAAAATAAATCTGAAATGGATTATCTGTTCCCCATCATGCTGTTTGATAGATATAGAGCACAAGACAAATAACCCTGTGGGAAAGCAAAACCATTCACAGTTCGGTTAAAGGAAAAAGAAAACGCCAGGAAAATCATCACAAACGTCGAGGTCTTTCTAGCAGATAGGCTTTATTATGTGCATGGTAATGTTCTGTGCAAGCTGTTTTCAAAATGTGATGAATAATGTTTAAAAAGACAGTAACTTTATTCTTCTTAAATGGAGTTAGCTTTAACATATGGAGGAGGGAAAAAACATTCCCACCTTGCTTTGTATTATCTTGCTCAGTGCCATTACTTGCTCCATTTTTAGCCCCCAGCCCCAGAAGGTCCTCTGGCAATTATTTAGCCTCCATGTCCCCATGCTCCCAAGGAAGATGCCTTAGTATATAAAACCAAGTGATGACATTACAATACAGCAAAATAACACATAGGTCCAGCTCCTGGAGATACACAAAACGACAACATTTATCCATAAACAGAAACATTCATTCTTTACACTGCCATTTTTGTTTTTCATGCCTACCTTTGCCAATGTCACTGACCAGGCTCCTGACATAAAAGCCACCACCACATTCAACATCTGGAATGTTAATAGTGACATGGTAAACTGCCAGTGCAATGTGAAATCTACTTTACACAGAAACCATGCCCCCACATAAATGTAAAAATGTGCCAAGCAAACAACCCAGTGATAAAATATTTATAAGATGCAACATCAATTATTCATCCTGTAACATATGTGCGGGTGAGATTGCTAAGCTAGACAGGAGGGAAAGTAAATACAATGGCAACTGAACTAACTCACTAGAAATTAGTACTTGCTGTGGTATGTTAACAAATGCTTCAGTCCTATTCGTTTTAAAGGTTTCAGAAGGTTGTTTCTAATGACAAAACCAAGTTATTTCAGGTATAGTCTGAAATGACTATCAATGCTTTTAAGATATTGCACATAGGCAGCTCAAATAAAATCTTAAAATTCACCTGTGACTTTCCCTGCTCTTTCAGCCATTCTCTTCCCCCTCAGCCAGTGATCAGCTGCTAGTCACTCAGCCTTAAAGCAAGGGCTGAAGTAACACAGCACTGAGTTCTGTCACTCATATCTGCTCACCATGTAACATCTGGTCCACCAGAGGACGATAGGTCAGCTAGGTATCTGATGAACACAAGACATTATCTTGACCTCACAGCAGCATTAAACCTTTACAACAGTCTTTTTTTGGTTTATTTATTGGTGCTTCTTAACGTACTACCCAAGTTTCTCCGTGTATGACAGAGGGAATGATAAGATCCTGCCTCCTCAGCTGAGAAACAGGCCTGACAGCAACTAATACTGGTCCTTGGTGAACCCTAGGAGAGATGCAGCAGGCCTTGGCATCAAGGCAAAAGAATGGGCAAAGTGAAGCAAGCAGACCTGAGAAAGAGGGAGCAAGCTGGAGGTTGCAAAATCATAGACAGATGCAAATAAGCCCCTGACCAGTCTCTCAGAATTTTCCCTCACAGGAAGATTACATATAATCAGCTTAACTTAAACCCAAAATATGGTGCTTTTACTGCAAACTCAAAGTCCCTGAACATGGGCTCACACCAAAACAAGCAGCTGAGGGAAACAAAACCCATTTCACTATCTTATTCCCATTCTAAGTGTAAATAAGCATTAACAAGCTGGGAGCATCACTCTACGTAATAATCTCTGGCCTTTACCCAGTGTGAAGAGTGGTGGCTGGAACTGCTGGAGAGAGAGGCTGTACACTCGTACTGGCCGAGCAGGCTTTGCTTCGACTGCTTCTCCTCTCTTCATCAGAGTTGACAGCCTTTCTCCATCCTTCTTCAAAGCAGAATAGCTGATCAGATAGAGCATGAAAATGCATGTCATATGGTTGTAATAGAACAAGCTTCCCATCCTCCAGATCCTGTTAATGTTGTACTACAGTAGCATACATTTTACCCTCCTAATCCTCTCCAAGTGTTCACCAAAAAAAACCCAACAAAAACCCCACAACAGCTAGCAAGTGCTTCTAAAATCTCTTGGATGCAGAATCATCTCATTTGCCAGTAGCTGTATAAAATGGAAAACAAGAGACAGGCCTGTATTTCTCACTTGCTGTACAGATTTAAACTACTCAATTTGTAGTTTATGAAAACAAGGGGCTTCTATAAGGGGCACAACACGTGCAACTGCTTCTAACATAAATGTCTCTCAAAAGTCTGCAGGGTGCACTCAGTTTCAGTATTAGGTTGAGCTGAGCATTAGGATCTGGTCAGGCAACTCCTGTAGTTCTGCCATGCACGGTTACTTGTTTCACACCAGGGTCTTCCCTAAACAGCAACTGACAAGTTATGAAGCCTTGTTATAGGCTGTTTAGGGGACCACTACAGAAACAAAACAAAACAAAACAAAATTCTTTGCACTGATTACACGCAACTTTACCAAAAGCACCGACTTTGGTCTTGACAGAAAGATGGCCACAGAAAAATCAAAAAAGATTCTGCTCAAATTAGCAGAGGGCAATTTGAAACAGGTCACATGTAGCAGAACCCCTCCTGAATTACTGCCCTTACAGCACTCACACTGGAACAACAGCAACTGACCCATCACAAATGCAAAGGAGAGCACCTTATAACTGAAATCACCACAGAAGCCATCTGTCACGTGCCAAGTGCTCCCACATGGCCAGCTGCCATGGCTCACCTGACTAGAAGGTATTTGCTAACCCAAGGAAGCTCAGTCACTTACCACTCATTCATACTCTTACATTTTCAGAAAACTAATTTGAAGCTGTTTCAGGCACTTCCACACAGGTATCAGTAAGCCTCCTCTCACCCCACCACTAAAATGAAAGACTCAGAGCTTTGCTTTCTAATTGGAAGATAGGATAGAAGCCACCAAGTCCTGCAAAGCTGCTGAAGACTGCTTTGCTACTTTACATTTACCATTAAAAAAACAGACTCCAGGTTACCATTTGTGCTGGGTGTTCAAATGGGCATGACCTGGAGTTGTAATGGTTAAACTCCTGAGTGTGCCTTGCCTCTATCCTCTTGACAAAATGTATCTTTTTATTTCTGAGAGAACTGACTTCTGTCAGCAAGTCCCCACAGCTGAACACAGCTGCAGAGAGTGTCTGAATACAGTAGAACTTACAGTGGAGGAACCTGCATTATGTCCCCTGTGAACTTTTGCAGGACATTTTCAAGATCTCCTTTTGTTATCTGGTCTGTAGGAAGAAAACAGTAAGTATTTTAGCACTAATTATTCAACATGGCACTAATGGAATCAATCACATTCTGCAAATGGATACAAAGAAGAGTTACCTCTCACCTGAGTTTATTTTGGGTAAAAAACACCAAAGAAGAGATAAAAAACAGAATGTAGGTAGGAGTGTGAATTATCACAAAAAGAGTGGAACAAACTGTCCAAGGTGATTAAGACAGTCTGGTCATTTTCAGAAGGGCAGAAATCCCAATATACACTGTTTTCATTTGCTATTTCTCTCTCTTGAGACTGGAAATTCATTTTTCTTAGGAACTAGGCAAAAACTACAAAATTTGTCCTATTCTAATTTTTATTAAAGGACCAGAAAGAATAAAATTATCATCTAACCTTGGCAACTTCTCTTTAAGAGCACCTAACTGTGGGAAAAAACTAGAACAGGTTATTAGAGAACAAAAGCATCACAGTTTTTTTTTCCAGTGGAAGAAGAGGACTGCATCTCAAACAACACATCAAATTTCTGTATCAAACAAATAACCTGCAAACGCACCCCAGGGTATTGATATATATTAAGTAAGGCAATTTTACTGAAGAAATGCTGTAAAAGAAAGATAGCTGCTTTAGGCAATCTATTCTAAGAGTACACATACAAATCTGTCCCACTTTTATTAGGAGGCTATAACCAAAGTAGCTGATTGCACTGGTCCTTTGAAATACTAGTCAATAGAGATGACATCCACCCCCAATTTGTTTAGAGACTACAAACATAAGATCTGTAATCACAATGCACTTCAGTGCATGTCTACTGCCTAGGACTTGACTAACATTGTACTACGTAACATCTCCTAAGTTAGACTCAATTAGTGTCACCCTGCTAAGTCAACACCATCCTGGAACATAAACCAACCAAATTTATTTATTGAGCCTTCATTATGTTCTGGAACAGACTTTTACTTGCAAACCTTACAGCATGAATTTCATCTGTTTTCTAAGTAAAAAAGAAGAGGTTCCCTGTCACAGCAGCTTTGGAAGATGGCAACGTGCTACTGCACTTCTGCAAAGCACACTTTTCAGCTTCAAGAGCAGATGCTGTCCAAGGCTGCAGCAGCTGTCTCAAGAAGTGTCATTAACAGCAAGGTTGCAAGGCACAAAAGTCAGTCAGGGATGCTGAGAGAGACCACTGTACATCAGAACAGGAGGACAGGACAAAATCCATTGTATAGTAGGTCTGGCTCAAGAGCTTCTTACATGGTTATTTCAACCTTCTCTTTGTATTACTCTAGTTGAGCAACATATCACAACAAAACTACGTGGTGGAAAGTTAGCATGACCCAGCTCTATGCTGACGATCCTGTCAGCCTCCTTGTGAACCCCAGGTTGCCTCCAGCTCGAATTTAGTCTTTAAAATCTAAGCATAAGTATCACTTGGAGTTCTCTTTCAATTTTCACTCCATGAACTGAATTTGTAGCTAGGGCATTTAATGAGACACCTGAGATCAGTTCCTGCTCTGATCCCATATTCCCCTGATGGAAAGGTTACATCTAGTCTCTGAGGAAATCACTCATGCTATAGGCAAACTCCATCACTAGGAAAAAAAACCTCCCCATGTGAGGAATGCTGTATAAGCCACTAGCATGCAAAGTTGTGTGGTGTGTTATCAAAGTAAATATTTACGTGAGTTTGCTAAGATCTAGAATTAAACACATTTGTCTTCTACAAGACATCATGGCACAAGCTGGCAAGTGTTACATTCTGAAAATCTAAAAACACGTGGGGTATTTCTTTTAGCATACACTGCCTTTGTGTTAATGGACTATACTGGATTCTTGCCCTTTCCCAGAGCAAAACACAAGCTGGTGGAGCTTTCATCCAGCCCTCAGTTGTAAAGGAGTGCCCTATTCATCTGGTCCCAAACAAGCAGTTTCACTATGTGTAAACTGTGTATAGACATGGCTCTGCAAGCACAGAGCCCGCACTGGGAACCAGCTCCTGCACCACCTTTCAGCTCCCACAGCCATCACACCCACAGCATAGGTGGAGGGAATGCAGTCCTGCTGCCCAGACCATCTTTCAGGCCTTAGGCCCACAGGTCTCCATCACCTCACTGTGAGCTTGGGTTTAACAGGTCAACAGCTTGCTTGGTCAGGAATTTTAGGGAAGCATTTGTACTCAACTCTCCATCCAGCATTAAATATGAATACACACATAAAGGCTAATTAGAATCAACAGTACCAAAACTTCAACTCCTCATTTGACCTCCCTTTTCCACTCCCTTAGAGTAAAGGGGCTGAGAGATGTTTCTGCAGAACACATCCGTCACAGATCCTAATTGCCCTTGAAACCTGGAGCCAGCCTACTCCTCCCAGTATCCTCACCATAAATACCAAATACCCTCACCTGTTGTATCACACAGCACAAGTTTTTGCTAGAAGTTGGACTTAAACTGCAGCTTTTTCCTCTTTTATCGAGGGATGTGGTGGCTTCCACCCTGTTTCACAATGCCTCCTTGGCTTAGAACAAAATGATTGTACCTGCTCTGTGAGTGCACTATTCAGATTATATTCAACTCAACACTAAATGTCCTTCTAAGCCCTTAGATCGACAGTGGCATTACATGACCTCTGCACAGGGTATGTGCCTTCCACTGGACTATTCCTTAGGATTCCATCAGCACCCCAAAGCACCCAAAACTCAGTTCTCCATTACTTCCAAAAATGCTGTAGATGAGCCTATTGACTTCCAACATTTTTAAGAATGGCTGTGCTTCCGAACACTGATGACTGTCGAATTTTCCTGCTATAAGCACAAAGGGAGGCAATTAAAGTTGCCAAACCAAAAGGTGCAAACTGTGCCACAACCTCAAGACGGCTCCACTGAAGGGTGATACTGCCCTGTGCTTGGTAACAAGCTACACCAAAACAGAACACAGAAATTATCTGTGATAGTCCAGCAGAACTTTAGCAGATGACCTTGAGTCAGTCCGGCCCAGCACAAACTACCTGCCAAGAGACAGGAGGAAAGGACTGAAAGGACTACTTTTGTCCCAGTAATTCACGTAGCTCTATTAAACATATATTTCAGCACACCCAGCAGAGACCTGTAGAAATACTCATGAATTTTGTTCTCCATGTGTTGATACAGTCTTGAGGCTGTATCTAGAAGATACAGATAGGAGAAAGTAGGTTTCAGAATGCACATTCCTGTGCACAGTTGAAAGCATTTAAAAAAGGCTTCAAACATGAATGTGGTCAAGAAAGTATCAGAAGCACACTGAATGCTACTGGCTTCCAAAGTCAGCATCTGGTAGTCTGGGAGCAGTACAAAATCATAACCTCATTTTGTGTGGAAATGCAAACTCAGTTCTTTATTTCTTATCAGACAGACAACATGAGAAGTTTAGAGGAGCTAAACCCAAGGAGCTCCCTTCAGTACATCCTTTCACTGCAACTAACTGTAATACACAACAGTTTGCTTTCTTAACTGCTGTCTAGGGACATCCTGAAGACTAAAATGTAACACAACAATGTTACTGGACACAGCACATCATGTGTCAGCCTGTCAAAGACTCAAAATGACACAGTCCTGCCCAATTCTATTTTCTCCCTCCTTATCTAATGCTCAGTTTGTGTTCTTCCAACAGAAATGAACACTTGCACTGGACATAATTGCATGAAGCTGGTCTGAATTATATGAGCACCGAGCTGAAGGTGAAATAATCTTGATTTCACATCTGAACTTAATTCATAGAGTCCCAAACACCTCCACCACTTCTCTATGACAGAGACCATTTATGCCTTCAAATTGCATCAGGTATATAAACACATTTATGCTCACCATAAGGTTTTTCTTCAGTTACTTTTCCTGTGGCATCTAACGTATCAGTAGCTTTGCCCAGCAGTCCAATGGCAGTGTACTTCTGGGAAGGAAAAAGGGAGATTTGTGAGAGGTCTTCAAGGTGGTAGGTTTGTTTATTTGTTTGTTTGTTTGCGGTTTTTTTTGTGTGTGTTTTTTTGGTTTGTTTGTTTGTTTTTTAAATAAAGTCTTAAACTACCAAGTACTTCAAATCAGAATAGGAAGAATATTATCTGAATAGTCAACCCAGCAACTCTGGGTAAGCAAAAGTAAAGATGAACAGACATGGAACTAAACAAAAAGTAAATGCTGCATTACATGTGCCTATGATTTCACTTTTAGAAACCCCAGGAAAAAGCAACATGAAATCTAATCTTTAGTATAAATACATCACTGCCATAAAGAAAATAATAGGGTGGTAAAATCAAAGTCTCTGTGGGGTGTCCTGTGTCACTGTTGAAGCAAGTCATGTGGAGTACCTTTCACAGACTATTTTTCTGTTCCTTCACCATTTAAAAGAAAGAAAGAAAAAAAAAAAGACACAAAGACCTTTACTTGCAAGAGCAAAACACCCACTTCCAAGGCAAAGCACAACCAGTTACGCTGTGAAATGCAGTAATACACAATAGCCTAAAACTGGGGTTTTGAACACCTGGAATCTGGTAAGGAGTGCAAGGCTACTGAGTGACATCTCTGCTCATCATGGGTTCACCAAGTATTTCTGTTTCAGGGTTTTTCAGGGCTCTTCTCTAAAGAGTTCTTCAGAGTATGGGTTTGTAGCTTTCAAGAAGGAATGAACCTGCTCCCAGATCAGCAGCCTGGGTCCTTACTGCATTTCACTTGATGTCCTTTCCCACATTTTCACTCTAAGGAGTCCTAGGCTGTGGGCATGTGGCAGGATCTGCTGAAGCTGACAGAAGGCTTCCTGTGAATCCCCTGCCCCACGTCTTTCCACAAGGCTGCCAACACCTGAAGACTCACTCTGTAACATGAGTTTGCATCAAGGCTGGAGATACCTTCAGGTATTAAAATCCATGGGTTGACCCACTGCCTATCCCATTCCATTTCGCTCAGCCCTCTGTTAAGTCCAGGGGCCTTCAAAGCAAAGCACTGACACAGCCTGGGAGAGAAAAATCAGTGTTCCACATGCCCAACTCCTAGTAAGGTTTCAGTGAACCTGCTCCAAACCGAGCTAATACAAATCTCAATCAAATCATAAAAGGATGTATCTTCTAGAAGTTAGTTGACCAAATTCTGCTGGAACACATCCAAACAGGCATAAACACCAACATTTCACTCTTTGATACAAGGCATCCTTTTTCATGTACTTGCAAAGTACAAACAAGCTCAAGTAATAATAGTGTAGGCATATAAATTACACCTTCAAAATGGGACTAAGACATGCCTTGATTTTGTTCCATGTGACAGGCTGCCATTTCAATGCATTTCTTCAAGCAACTGCAACAAAATGGAAGCAGCAGGAACAGTCAGACAAAAGGCAGCGGAGTGCAGGCTTTAGTACAAAAATAACTATACTCTTTGCCTAACACATTAAGGTTACCTTTTTTTCTGAAATACTGCAGATGCCTGAATCCCCTGATAACTCTGCAAAATCAGGCATTTTAAAATACAATTTTTGAAGCTTACACACTTTTGGAATGCATGGAAAAGAAATAATAGGAGGAATGATTGAAGACTGCTCCACAACAAATATTTAAATAAACTTTAAAATATACTGTATCTGCTTTTAGGACCATAAAATTGCCTGCTCTCTGAGATATTTAATGATCTAGTTCTTAGCATTTAATAATATAGCTAGAAAGTCACTATTCAGCAACTACTTAAGAGGTTAATAAAAACATGTGAGTAGATCTTCATAATTTGAGCATGATGAATGACCTCAGAGGCTCAGTAAAACTCTAAATCTGAAAGTATGAAACCTCACACCCTATCTTCAGATGTTTCCAAATCAAAATACTGATGATACTTCAGTTTGAATTATTTTCTTCCTCTTAATTCTGGTTTGGTTTTCTTGCTTCAGGCTATTACAGTAATGTTATACTTCACCTACCAGCAACAGATACAGCATCAACTAAACTCACAGTGTATGAGCAAAACAATCCAAACCTCAACACTTGACTTCCCCTTTAATTTCTGCAAAAAGCCACCCAATTTATAAAATGACCATCCTTAAAAATTAGTCACAAGTTCCTATTCCTTACAGGAGCCTTTAAAGAGTCACAAAAGCTTCAAGCCAATAATGCAATAATCCACAAAGAAGGCTATAACAGGTCAGGAAATTAAGAATTATAGTTAGTTTATGATCAGTCTCTGGAGTGCCCTTGGGTATCTACAATTATATATCATGATTCTTACTGGTTACTTAATAGGGTTTACTTCCCCTTTGTTCAGGTGCAGGACCTGGAGCCTGGAGAAGATAACATGAGAGTCCAGACTTAATCTATTGTTCTTATTTTGTGTCAAAACTCAGCATTAACTCTGTTTAGACCCTAACTCACATTGCCCTCAGAAGCACTCAATGGATTCTGAGTCATTTAATAAGTCTTTGGTGACCTTTTCTCACCTGTGTGGGCAATCATTTATTTCTTCCAGTTTTATAAAACACATCTAGGGGCATTCTTCCTGTACTCTCAAATTACAAATCACTGCAGGAACACAGACAGCAACTGCTCACAACCACACTGCCTTCAACCCACTCGACCTGAGAGAAGAAAAGCAAGGTGGTAGGTGTTCAGGCGGCGGAAGCGCCCGGCGAGCGCAGACTGTGAGAGGAAACGCCCCTGCATCGGCAGCTCAGCACAGAACACTGCCAGGCAGCAGCCCCACGGCCTTACCCGCACTCATCTCAAGAGACCAGGCCCCAAACCATTGAAAGATTAAAAGCAGCACCCCAGCTTCCCTAGGGGACTCCACAGCACGTGAGTGTAGCGCATTAGAAGTTAAGATTAAACATTGCCAGGAACAACTTGGGAGCAGTGCAGCATCATGCGTTAACTCCAGCTCCTAACGGTCTGCACGGCCCCAACGCGGAACCCCACACCTGGACAACAGTACAAGAACCCCGAGGGCATACAGACCTTCCCTGCATTATGCATTATGTAATAAATACATATTGTCATATACATTATTATATTATCCTGCATTAGGGAACTACTACATCAGGAGCCCCCAGCAGAAGGACACGTCTGTTGGAGTGAGTCCAGAGGAGGGGCACAAAGATGATCCAAGGGCTGGAGCAGCTCTCCTGTGAGGACAGGCTGAAAGAGTTGGGGCTATTCAGCCTGGAAAAAAGAAGGCTCCAGGGAGGCCTTATTGCAGCCTTCCAGTATCTGAAAAGGTACTACAAGAAAGCTGGGGAGGGAGTTTTCACAAGGGCTTGCAGTGATAGGATGAGGGGTAATGGGTTCAAACTGAAAGAGCATAGATTTAGATTAGAAATTAGGAAGAAGTTCTTCACTGTGAGGGCAGTGAGACACTGGAACAGGTTGCCCACGGAACTTGTGGATGCTCCATCACTGGATGTGTTCAAGTCCAGGTTGGAAGGGGCCTTGTGCAACCTTGGAGTTGGGAGGTGTCCCTGCCCTGCAGCAGGCTTGGACGCACAGAATCACAGAATGTTAGGGGTTGGAAGGAACCTCTGAAGATCATCGAGTCCAACCCCCTGCCAGAGCAGGACCATCTAAAGTAGGTGATCTTTAAAGTCTCCTCCTACCTAAACCATTCTGTGATGTTACAATCTCTTGAGATGCCTAGAAAACCATTCTCTTGATGTTATGGTAATTGAAACAACAGGCAGCAAAGTTACCAGAAGCCCTCAAGTATAAGCAACTCTTTCATTCACACCAGTGTGGAGACAGCCTTACAAAGATACTTTAGTGACAAACCACTGCACTGCCAATGACAGTGCAACAACTCTGTCACACAGACTGGGGCATGCACTGGATACAACCTCAACAAGGCCAGAAAGACAGCCAAGTGCTTTGGCAGCCAGACATTTGTGACCATACTCATGACTAGAAAGAAACATGCCATAAAAGCCAGGACTGGAGAAAGAACAGGTTTACAGGAATCTGTAAGAAACAAATTACAACCTCCCTAAAAAATTCTGACAGATTTTGGAAAGAGAGATTTTGTTTTGGTCACAACCACAGGACACAGTCAAAATTCTCATAAATAACAAACCATATGATTTTTGCAATAATGTTTTAGTACAAGAATAGCTATCATTTGGCTTTTTTATTTCACATCCAGTTTCAGAGAAATCTTTACACTAAGACAGAAAGTAAATCCATGAAAAGAGAGAGAAAAAGGCAAGAATTCATGAGTATACCTATTCAGCTGTGAAAGGAGGAAGAGGAGGAGAAGGAAGATGAATCCCCTCCCGTTAGAGGGGCCATACAGCCAGCATAGCTGTTAGTTGCACAACCTACCCGGGAGGGCTCCTGGAGGCTGGAGCCCCTGGGCTGACTGCCAGGCGAGTCTGCCCCACTTATCAGTGCAAACGCCAGACAGACCATGGAACAGAGCTGCTCAGTTTTAACTGTTAATATATTAAAAATTGATCTGGAAAGAAGCCAGAGAGCTGAAATCTTAAATTATAACATGTTTTAAAAGCTTTTCCAAACATGGAAAAGCAACATTTTGGAAGAGCTAGACAGAAGCACAAGTAATTATGAAATAAGGTCACTAGTAGCTGTCAGGAAGATCTGAAGATGGCTCTCATGGCAAGAATTTCCCAGGCAAGCAAGCTCTTCGGAAGAGGCAGTTCATAAGAGTTCAACCAAGGATCTAATCACTTCTTAACAGAGAAGTGTAAAAGGAAAATAAATAAAGACTACAGTCCCCTATGCAAGAGACTGAGTTGGGAAAGAGAAGCAATATCCAACAGAAACACAATCTATGTGAACAGATGTCTGTGAGTGGCAGATGAAATTGAGGGAACCTGAAACAAAACAGGCAAACAAAACAAAGAGACAAGTGGTGGAGAGGACCTGAAGGAAGCCAGGGTGAGCACCCAGCAGAAGCACTGATCTGCACTGGTGCTCCTGAGCTGAGCCCATTCAGCCTGCAGGCCTGGTCTGAGCACTTCCATTTTTGCAGACTTAGCCCACTGAGATAGTGAAGGGGCCTTAAACTCTCACTTTTACAATAACATTCAGTTTGTGTGCATTGATTTCTAAAGCACAACTAAGGTGCTCTGGATTTAATGTTCACATAACTTATATTTGCTGTTTGTGTAACATTAGCAGATACCAGTGGTTTCCAGTATGCTAACCACCAAACCAGAAGAGTACATGAGGTAGACAAATAAGCTGGAAAAAAACCAAGGGTTGCCATAGTTTCAATTATTTTCCAAAACAAAGCACTCTCACTAAGCAGATTCCAATATATTAAAAGCACAGAGCCCTAATCTCTTAAAAGCAGGTTGCACAGAGGCAAAATAAAGACTGTGGGATGAGGGAGGAGTTCCACATTTTGCCATAGAGCGAATCCAAAATGACTAAACACCAAACATGTCCTCTTAATGTACACAAACATTACAACTTCTCTACCATTCTTTTTCTCTCCTAAAAGAAAAAGCTGACTTTGTGCTAAGCCTGCACTAAAATTTATTTACTGCTAGATGCTGTAATTGTACTGTCATTGCTGAAGAACTATCTGATCTTTACTCCTGGATTAACAAGATTTTCTGACCACTTATGTCAGCTTATTTAAGAAGTTCAAACACATGGAGTGACAAGATTTTCAATGCGAAGGACTAGAACCACCTACAGCAGGGGAACCTACAGAAGATACTTAATTTGGAGTTCAGAGAAGCTTTAAGGAGGTAGCCAAAAACTGTAGCAAATTTAAATTTTAGTGTTAAAAAGAAGGCAGGAAAAAGGGCAGGAGAGGGAACAATCCCAACAGTACAACAGGTCACTCAGGAAAGCACCACGGCCACACATCTCTTGCAAACAAAATACATGCTCACGATATCCAAGAGGGGATGCAGGTTATCATGCAGAACTGGCTGCCTGTAACCCACAGTCTCTTCAGGCAAA